GGTTATGTAGGCATGTGATATTTGGCAGTTATGTAGGCATGTGATTTGGTGGTTATGTAGGCATGTGATTTTTGGCGGTTATGTAGGCATGTGATATTTGGCAGTTATATAGGCATGTGATATTTGGCGGTTATGTAGGCATGTGATATTTGGCGGTTATGTAGGCATGTGATTTGGCAGTTATGTAGGCATGTGCTATTTGGCGGTTATGTAGGCGTGTGATATTTGGCAGTTATGTAGGCATGTGATTTGGTGGTTATGTAGGCATGTGATTTGGCGGTTATGTAGGCATATGATATTTGGCAGTTATGTAGGCATGTGATATTTGGCGGTTATGCAGGCATGTGATATTTGGCAGTTATGTAGGCATGTGATTTGGTGGTTATGCAGGCATGTGATATTTGGCAGTTTTGTAGGCATGTGCTTTGGCGGTTATGTAGGCATGTGATATTTGGCGGTTATGCAGGCATGTGATTTGGCAGTTATGCAGGCATGTGATTTGGCAGTTATGTAGGCATGTGATATTTGGCAGTTATGTAGGCATGTGATTTGGCAGTCATGCACGGATGGGATCATTCTCCATTTTGTGACTGTTGTGTCCATCCGCCATTTGCACCAAATGCTGTTTTTCCCTTGAGGTCTTGGTCTTGGGAGCGCAACCACACCGATGAGTGGCTGCAGCTCGCCAATGTCCTCACCCCGCAGCAGTTCCCGACTCCACATTGTCTTCATTGATGTCAGGCCGGCGGGAAACCTTTCCCCCGTTCATCAGACCCACTCCTTCATCAGGATTTCAAAAATCCAGGAACCTGCATCCTAACTGACCTCTTCCCCTTATCCAATTCCTTCTGACAGGGTAGTTCTCCAGGTCAAAATCACTTTGACTGATTTCAAGATGTGAGTTTGCCCCTTTGTTTCCTACTTCATTCTTTCTCTCAAAAAGCTGGACTCAAAAAATGGCCTCGAAGAGAGGACCTGAAGCCCTGAAAGCACCTAGATCCCTGACACCCCGACTTGTCTCTGATGAGATGCACCACGCCTCTGTAATCATTTGGTTCATTTAGCACCTCTGAGAAGAGGCCCCTCCACTCCGAGTGCTGATGGAGGAGTCCAAATCCTCTAGGAGCATGCCCCGTAAGGATCGGCACGGTCCGTGCAACGTTTCCACGGTGCCTTTCTGTCCTCACACCCAGCAAACCACTAACTAGACCGGGGAACAATGGTTCTCTAGAATAGCCCAGGCTACTTGTCCAAACTGAAGAGCTCCCAACCCAGTGTCCCCAAAATGCTGTGTCCCCTCCAATGCCACTAATGTGACCAAGAGAAGCTGGAAAAAGAGGCCATGGTTGCAACCAATCATGGTTCAACTCTGCAACTTTGGCAAGTTCCACAAAACACATGACCATGTGAGCACATGGCTGGGCCCTGCCCAGGACCTTGGGAGGAGCCTGGACAGTGGGGTGCTTGTAGATGAGTCTATCACAGCTCATATGAAGCGGCCTCTGCCCTCCCCCACCCACCCACCCCGCCCCCATCACTCTCTATCGCCTGCATTGACTTAACAGAGGATCTGTTGCTGCCAAACGTTTTCCAAGTTCTTGTGCAAGTGGGCGCCCTGGTCTCAGGCAGCGGAAGCCCACGGTTGGCTCACTTAAGCAATCAAGGAAACTTGCTGGAAAGAGATCAAGGAGCTCACGACATCAACAGTTGGGGGACAGAAGCTGGCCAAGAAACAGAGCAGGAGTCAGGGAAGATCTGAGTTCAGCCTCAGGTGGACGCGACAGCAGTGGAAGACATCCACTCTATCCAGTACTTAACGTCTTAGGGAAAAATCCTGGCTGGTCAGCGGGTACCTGGACCAGCCCCTTTGATGTGCTGGGATGGGGAGAGGAAGGTCAGGGACCCCTGGAGCCTCTGGAGGTGGGGCTCCTTGGTTAAGCAGCTCATCGAGATGTCATGCAATGCAGGAGAGGCAGATCCCCAAGGCGTTCATGGGCGGGCTCTTCGAAAAGGGGCAGGAAGATGGGCGGTAACACCGCCTGTGGTGAAGGACTTCTTTTATGTTGCCTTTTTGATTGGATTCTTGGGGTGGGGTGGGGGTGATTAATCCCCCTCTCCCCCAAGCCCTGTGGAGTTTCTTTTGCCCTAGTCTTCTACCCCAAAGGGCTTGTTACATTTCTGGGGTAAGCTATAGACAGTTGGGTTTAAGACTGTTTGCCTAGCCCTAGGCCGCAGTCTAACCTGAGATTCTAAGGCGCCTCCCATAGGCTGGTCAATGTGCTAATGCTCATGAGGTGACTGTGGTTTATGCGCATGAGGCAACTATACCCCAATATGTAAATAAAGTGACTGTTACTGAGGGAGAGGGATTTGGTCCGTTGGTGCCCCCCCACCCCCTGCTGGAAGAGGCCCTGCCTTGAAATGGACAGAGTTCGTATGTGTCTGGCCAACCCCACAGAGGATTTTCAGGCAGAAAGAGAAGTAGAAGCGGAGGGGCAGCGGGAAAGCGGAAGGTCCTCGAGGAGATGGACGACACCGTGGCCGCAGCCATGGGCTCGCCTGGGGACAACGGTGAGGACCGTGCAGGAGCGTCCCGTTTCCTTCCGTCGTTCACACGATCGCCGTGGGTCGCACCGGACAACAGCAACAAGGACGTGTTCAAACCACACGGCCAGCGTCTGATGGAGACAAGACTCACACCCCTGTCTGTCCGGCCCAGACTTCTTAAAAACAAAATACAAAAACCTTCTGGTGGTGAACTGGGTGAAGTTGGACAAATGTTTTTGTACATTTGGTTTGGGGGCATCCAGTGCAAGCCCCACCATGTGACACCGTTCACCCCCTGGCCTCCCTGTTTCCATATCCCTTCCTCCTCCTCTCCTACCCCTTCCTGCCCGAGGAACCTTGCCCCTTGGACCTCCAACAGTGGTTTGATCTAAAGCATGCGTATCTCCCTAGTGGTAAGCCCATCTCTAGACCTGCCCACTGTTTGGCTGAAAATTGAGCCAGAGGGGTGAGTTCAGTTCTGGGCCTGACAGGGGACTAAATAAAGGGCACCGGTCTCTATCCGGCCAGCGAGTCTGCCAATACAGAATCCCTGATCTGCACTTTTTGCCCGATTGCATGCCACTTTCCCGGGCAAGGATGAAGCCACACTGGATGTCCCCAAAGCCAGGTCTGTGGGACACCTGCTGGGGTGCCTGCACAGCTACAAACCCTTCCCCTTCCCTGGGAGTCTCCCTATTAATCCTTTCTTTCTTAGAGCTAGGCCAGCAGCCACGCTTACCCTGTTGGACCTCGTCACCTGGACCTCGGGCGATCAGAAACACCCCGGGCCGGGCTCATCCAACTGAAGGACAAGCACTCATCAATGTCAGGAAGCCTGGTGCCCCCCACCTTCCCCACAGAGCTCCGGCGAAGGAGCCGTGAGGCCATGATATTCTGTGTCAGGTCTACCCAGGAGAGGGCACCCCAAACAGGACGTCCAAGAGACAGGACAGAGGACAGAGCACCGACATTGACCACCGAGGCTGCTCTGCAGAGGCTGGCCGGTCAAGGAACAAAATTACACCTATGTCCCATGAATTTCACAGCTTCTGCTCCCAGAAAGTACCGTGGTGTCACCCGTGGCCAGAGAAAAACAATGAGAATGGCGCCGATTGTGGGCAGCCGGTGAACCAG